TCACCACCGAGGGCTGATCACCTGCTGCCCGGTGCAATAGTCTGGGTGCTAAAAGGGCACTGAGCCTTTCCTGCATCCTCTGTCACCACATTGCCTCCCCCACGCAGGACGGGACCCACACGTTCCCTGATCCGCCTCTTGCTACCAACATACTTGTAGAAACCCTTCTTGTTCCCCTTCACATCCCTTGTTGCTTCAACTCCAGTTGCGCTTCTGCCTTCCTGACTGGATTCCTGCATGCCCGAGCAATGCTCTTGTGCTCCTCCCTGGGTGTTTGTCCAAGTTTCCACTTCTTGTAAGCTTCCTTTTTGTGTTGGTCTGAGCCTGAGTGTGTGGGCAAGACCCTACAGCCAGGACCCTGCGGGTTGGTGCCAGCAGGAGCATTGGAACGGCCCGGTCCCCATCCCCAGCCTGGGCTGCAGCAGCACCGGCACCTCTGGGGGAGGCTTAAATCCCCCTGGCCCCTGCAGCAAGTGGTGGAAATGCCTCCCTAGCCCCACCTGACAACCAGCAAAGCCCAAAGCCCAGGGACAGCAGACACCTCTGCTCTGCTCTGCAGCCCCACGACCCACCCCTCACCCCACTGCAGCCCCAGCCGTGTCCCCTCCAGCCATGGGGCCCAGCTGCATCCATCTCCCAGCAAAATCCCAGAGCCGCGGGGCTGGCAGGGACCTGCAGGGTCATGTCTAGTCCAAGCCCTCCCCGTGGCAGGATCAGGCCTGTCCAAGCCAGCCCAGATGAATCCTGTGTCCAACCTCTGAGCACCACAATCGTCACCCCTGACGCAGCCCCAGGCCTCGCTCCGCCTCTGCCTGCACCCCCGGGGACGGAGTCTCCCCCAGCCCCAGGCAGGCCATGCCCCAGCCTCCAGGCTCCAGCAGCGCGGCTTCCCTGACTCCAGCCTGACCCTGCTGTGCTGCAGCCAGGCACCCGGCGCCCGCAGGAAGGGAGGAGGGCTCCCTTGTCTCTGTGCCCCCCAACAAGCATCCTCACACAGCAAACAACACGCTGGCCTGCATCCACCGATGCAGCTCAAGGAAAACTACGGAAGCTGTTCTCCCGCTCTGCTCAGCGCTGGTGAGGCCACAGCTGGGGCACCGCATCCAGCTCTGGGCGCTGCACTTCAGCAAGGATGTGGTAAAGCTCGAGAGAGTCCAGAGAAGAGCCACTCGTATGGTTAGAGGCCTGAGAAGCAAGTCATGCGAGGCAAGGCTGACAGATACAGGACTACTCAGACTCGAAAAGAGAAGACTTTGGCGGGGCAGGGAGGGGGGGCTAGTGGCAGCCTTGTATCAGGGGAGAGCATCGGAGGCGAGGCGAACAACTATTCACCAAAGTGCCCCAGGGGAAAACCACAAGCAACGGTCATGAACTCCGAGAAGGCAGTTTCAGACTGGATATAAGGAAAAACCTCTTGGTTTGTGTGAGCAAACTCTGGAACAGATGCCCGGTGCGGTGGTGCAGGCACCGACCCCAGAGATCTTCCAAGGGAGACGATGCACACCGCACTGGGGTCAGCTGACCCCCGCAGCCTTTCCTGCCCAGAGCAGGGGGCCTGGACCCAACCATCTGCCGAGGTCCCTTCCAGCCAGAAGCTTCTGTGCATCTGTGAAGCCCCCCAGGGCAGTCCAGACCCCAGCCAGGGATGCCCAGAGGTTGGGGCACCTCCCCTGCCCCACTCACCCGCCATTGTGGGCTCCGGCTCTGGCTCCGGGCTCCCTGTGGCAGCACGGTGCTCATCCTCCAGGCAGCGCTGGGGGCAGAGGGAGGGTCAACACCCCCCAAACCAGACCCCCATCAGAAGGCATGAGCACACAACACCCCCCACCCCTAGGGCAGTGCCAGCCTGGCTCCCAGCCCCGGTGGCTGCAGCAGCCCTGGCCTCTAGGTGCGGGCACTGATGCCACCAGCCCAAGCACCACCACCCCGTGCCCAGCTTCCACAGAGGACAGAGCTGGGAGGGAACCCACGTGTCTGGGCATCCCACCCCCCGACTCTCACCCATCAGCCCCCCACTCACTTCCCAAAACTGAGGGTAAACCCAGGGTCTGGGCTCCCGCCCCTGCTGCTCTAGCGCCCCGACCCCCACCGGCCTGCCAGAGCAATGCCAGCTCCTGCCAGGTCACGAGGGCGCTGCCAGCCGTGCCCAGAGCAGCCGTCTCTGTGGGCACGGCTCCAGGGAAGCCCCTCGTCCTGCTCCAGTCACCCCCTCTCCCACCCTGGGCCCTTGGAGCAGGTCTCATGCCATGCTGCCCCCGCCAGCCAGGCACAGCCCTACCTGGAGGTGGGTGACCAGTTCCTCCAGGGCGCGGTGCTCCTCCGCCAGCAGGGCCCTGGGCACGGGGGGCAGCATTAGGTAGGTGCAGCCCAGAGTGGCCATGTGCTGGGTCAGCCCCAGGTCCGTCCTGCCTGGCACTGCGCATTGGCAGAGCAGAGGCTGGGCGGGGGGGACCTGGCTTTCCCCCCTGCAGCCCCCAGCAGCAAAGGGCTGATGTAGTGGCCATGCCCCTCGCTCCCGTGCTAGATAGCTCCCGGTGCCCCTTTCCTCCCAGCCCGTGTCCCCTCCCTTGGTGGCTGCACTCTCAGATCCTGGCATGTCTGGTGGCCACAAGCCCCCCACCCTTCAATGGCATGCTGGGGAGGGTGGGGGGGAACTGCCTTTCACTAGTTTTAAACTGGCTGCTCTGCTCCTGCTGTGCCCCTCGGGCTCGTCTGGCGCAAGGCTGTCAGCAATAAATCCCCAGTGACTTTCTTTTCCCCATCTTGCAAACCCGTCTCCTGTCCCTGCTCTGGCGTCTCTCCTCTGCCCTGCCCAGGCCTGGCCTGGCCTCCTCCGCGCGTCCTCGCTGGGACCCCAACGCCCTCCCCTGTGAGCCCCGAGCCTGCACCCCAGCCCCAGCCCCAGCCCCAGCCTGGCCCCCTCACTCACCGGAGCTGGGGCAGCACTTCGGGCAGGCGCGCGATGCTCAGATGGTCCCGGAGGGGCTCCAGGCGCTGGGCCAGGCTGGGGCCCGGGCTGGAGGCAGGACACAGGCAGGGTGGGCCGGGGTTGGGGTGCAGTGCACGGAGGGCCCCAGAGCAGGCAGTGGCAGGGCCCCGCGGGGATCACAGCGTGCCCCCGGCCCAGGCTGAACCCTCCTGGACACGTCCCGGGCACCGCGCACAGCGACCAGCCCACGGACCCTGCTGCAGGGACAGGACCAGGGGAAACCCCTTCTTGACCCAAATCTGGCACCGGGCTGAGCCCGAGTGCAGGGGCCCGACCCCACAGCCAGGACCCTGCAGGGTGGGTGCGAGCTGGAGCATGGGCACAGCCCCGTGCCCATGCCCATCCCAGCCGGCACCCAGCGCTGCTGAGCAAGGGGGAACCCCCCAAGTCCTGTAGCAAGAGGAGAGGGGGAAATGCCCCCAAACAGCCCCCCCCATTCCCACTGCGTCCGGGTCCTAAGGCAGAGGGGCAGTATGGGGCCGGGACCCACCTGGCGCCGAGGAGCCCGGGGCGGCCGCCTGCCTCCCCCCGGGCGAAGCGCAGCACGCGGG